TATTAAAAACAAAAAAATAATTATCTTTAAAAACATTAATTTTGTTTGATTTAATTATTAAAAACAAAAAATAATTGTAGTTCTTCCTTCTTTTTTTGAAGGGCAACAAATAGTTGTAGTTGTTAATTAATACTTTCTCTGGTCTTTTTTAATTGTCCTAATCTTTTCACTTTATGTAAATTAACTCGATAATTTTAAAAATAAATAAATGATAATTAAAAATTTTCTTTGATCTAAGCAAAAATATATAATAAGAACTATGTATTAAAAAAGAAAAAAATTAATTATCATTTATTTGCTATATACAATCATTTAATCTCATAAAAAAGTCAAATTGAGACAATTAAATCTGACAATAATAAATAAAACAACTGATATTTATTGATAAAGAGATTGAAATAAGTCTATAAATAGATTTTTTTAATATTACAAGCAGTTGTTTTAAAAAATATATATTATGATTTGCGGCAGCATGTTAGTGGTGCATAATTTATTATACTCTGCGGTTCAATTATGTATCCAACACCAGTTTTGTGCATGAGTTGTAGTTTCCTTTATACTTCTTCAAATAAAATCTTCCTCTATTTGATATATTTGTATTTTAGATTTTAATTTTAGTAAATTATTTAATCTTTTTGTTTGACTATGCTAATTAAACGTAGAGATTAAAAATTAGAACTTGAAAACTCAATCCCGGTGGTTATACAAGTTAGGAAACCCTTTTTTCTAGGTTGCTTAACAAAGAAACGTTAAGAAGTAGATTAAAAAAAAGACGAGGATTTGGCTTTGGACTACTATGTATCTAGACTCCGAAGTTAGTGTGTGTGTATTGTTATGTGCAGATTTAATGAATGCAACATAAATCAATTGTACAAATTAATTAATTGAAAGATAAAAATCTACCTCGCTTAAATGGCTAGTGCTTTCCCCGAATAACCTTCAAATGAAGACAGAAAGGGATATGCCCAATTTTTTCTCTTTTTTTTTTTTTTTTTTTTTTTTTTTTTTTTTTTTCTGGAGCAGCAAAAGGGAGGGGCCTACTGAGACGCTTCTCCACAGATTGCTCGGAATTTCTAGCTGCATAAAAGATTTTCATTACACGTAAGGTAAAATTTTAAATTACTGTAATAAAGAGGTTAACAGACAAAAGTATATATATAAAAAAAAGTTTATACATATATAGGAATTAAATAAAAAATTATACCTGCTGGTATGAAACTTTTGCTTCTGAGAGACAGAAAAGTGCAGTAGATTTTATCAAAATGATGCAATAATCTGTAGAAATTAAAAAATACAATATAAGACGGTAAGTTAATAAAAATAAGTAAGGCTGAAAAAGAAAA